GGGGTGCGGGGACTGCGGGACGCCCTCCTGTGTCTTAGTGCCATTGGCCCAGGGTCCTGAGCGGAGCGTCGCCGGGCGGGTGGGGGCACTTCACCCCGCACTGGCCGACGCCCCCAGCCTGGCTCTCGAGGGCCGGGAAAGCCTGGAGATGGCGTTCGCGGAAATGAAGCCCAGCGCAAGGGGCGGACCAAGGTGGCCATCAGCGCGGGTGGCGTGGCCCCGGCGTACCGGTTAAACAGCGACCCACACGTTTCCCCCCGCATTAGCTACTTAGGGGCACAGTGCAGAGCTCTGCGACTGTTACAAAAGAGCTCTTTAGGGCAACATTTAAAACATTTTCATGTATAATTTACATACAATAAAATGCCCCTTGCAGATGGATGGAACTTGACAAATTATACTCACTCCCGTGTAACCACTGTTGCAACTAGACAGAGATCGTTTCTAGCACCCTGGCAAGTTCCCTCTGGCCCTCTCGGTCAGTCCCTGCCCCCGCACTGTTCAGACTACAATCCCACCTAGAACTTCAGTAAGTGGAGTTGTGCAGTCAGTATCTTTTGTGTCTAACGTTACTTATTAAATGGCCGTCATCAAGAAGGTGTCTATTGGAACTTTGGTGCTTGGGGTCACTTTAGGCCTCCAGGGGTTCTCATGTGAGAGCCACTAGCCACCCTAGAAATGTGACAAATCCTAATTGAGATGTGTTCTGAAACTGGAAGGCTTAGTACAACAAAAAGGTGGTAAAGCATGTAATAATTTCTTGCCTTGATTATGTGTTAAAATGTAACGTTGTGGATACATTAGGTTAAATAAGATCTATTATTAAAATGGACTTCATCTCTTTCTTTTTACATTTGAATGTGGCCACTGGAAGATGAAAAATGACATATCTGGCTCAGGTAGTATTTTTATTAGACAGTAGGCAGTACTGCACTTAACGCTGGCCAATTTTATAAACAGTGCTCCCTGCATGTAAGAGTAAACAAACTTAGTCTTTATACCGGAAACCATCCTGGCTGGAGGAAGTCTAAAACAGCCTGCCTTTCCCGCGGTTTTAAAAGTTCGTTTTAAACTTACTTGTTTGCTTAAAAAAAAAAAAAAAAGAAAAGAAAAGAAAGGATTGTCTCTTTGGTCATAAGTCACCTTTTTCAAAAATGACTTTTCAAAACGATCTAACATGCTTTCAAAAGGTATTCCTGGCTTTTTGAAAATACAGAAAACCTAGTACTTGCCTACAACTCAATCACCTACTTATGTAGAAATGTATGACATAGTGTGTTTTTCACCAAATTCAATCTTGTTTAACGCATTTTGCGTTTGGACGGAATCTTTGAGGCTATAAATATAGCCCGGGTAGGTGGGTAACCAGAGTCGTGAGGAGGTGAGTAGCATCAAATATGCTTAGCTGTATTGTGTAGAGGGTTTAGGGAAGCCATTTGGGATGGGACATGGAGATTTGGGAAAGCTTCTGTTTACTCACCCTGAGCACAGTCCGCTAGTTCAAAATGAACCCAGTGCTCTGAGGTACCCCTTTAAGTGAAGATGGTTTGTTCTGAGAGATAAGAAGAGGAAACTACCAAATCAGAATGGGCATTCCTTTGAGCATAGATAAATAAGAAATGAGGGACCAGCAGATGGCATAATGGTTATGTCTCTAGACTCCCACGTAGTTGACCACAGTTTGAGTCCTGGACCCAGTGACTTAGAACTCATGCTGGGTGTGTGTGCATGCATGCCCAAAATACTGAGAGGAGAATAGAGAAGAGATTGCAGTGTGGCCATCACCCCGGGAGGGGGAAGTAACTTCTCCCTTTTTGTCTCTCTCTGTATCTCCAGCAAGTGCACACATCCTATAGCAAAAATCTCAAAAAAAAAAAAAAGAAAAAAAAAGAAAAGAAATGAGTAACTGATATCTTTCCTATGCAATTAATTCATTTATTATCAGCCTTTGTTAATTCTTTTTTTTTTTTTTTGATTGCTGAAGGGTACATTTGCTAGCCAGACAGAGAATCTCCCAATGGGGCGTAGTCATGCCACAAACCCTTCTCTTCTACCTCTCCATCCTGTCAGGACTTTGGTCATGCTCACACGCACACATGCATGCCTGGTATGCTTTTCAAGCCTCTAGTTCAGAATTTGAATGTTGTTTGTTCATGTGGGATCTGGCTCCCAATGCATAGTGCTTAGCCACTTTGCTATATCTGGGTTTTTTTTTTTTTTTTCCCCTTCAGCTCTAAGTTTTTTGTTTGTTTTTTTTGAGAGGTTTTTGCTATAGGGCACGTGCACTTGCCAGAAAGACAGAGAGAGACAGAGACAAGAAGCAAGAAATCACCCCCCAGGAAGTGTGGCCACGCCGCAATCCCTTCTCCTCCATTCTCCTCTTGGGATCGTGGGATCGTGGGCACACATGCGTCTGGCATGAGTTTAAGTCACTGGGTCTGGGACTCAAACTGTGGTCAACTATATGAGAGTCCAGTGACATAGCCACTAAGCCAACTGCTGGTCCCTCTAATTTTTTTTTTTTGAGAGAATTTTCCTATAGGGTGAATACACTCGCCACAGAGAGAAAGAGATAGAGAGTGAGAAAGCGAGAAATCACCCCCCCCAGGGGGTGACCACACTGCAATCCCTTCTTCATTCTCCTCTCAGGATCTTGGGCACGCACACACATGCACCCTGTGTGAATTTAAGCCACTGGGTCCAGGACTTGAACTGCTGTCGATGATGTGGGAGTCCAGCAATGTAAGCATTATGCCATCCACTGGTCTCTCTTCAGCTCTAATTTTATATTAGTCCTACTCAGTTTTGCATTTGCTTGCCATGATTACACAAATGTACATGGTGAAATTACTAAAACAGAAGGTCCCTGCACACACTCAAGGGAAAAATAATAGTACTGAAAGTAAAGAAAATTTAAAAAGTTAATGGGCTTCCTGTAAAATAAAAGAGTTTGGGTTCAGTGGCCAAAAAGTCAAATAAAATTTCCTTATAACATAATAATTTTTCTTTTTTTCCCCTTCTGCTTGAATATTCTTACATGGTAAAACAGATGGTTCATGTGGGCCAGCAGGTGATGTGGAGGTTAAGGTGCTGGATCCCACATGGCCGATTTCACAGTTTGAGCCCCAGACCTGGTGGCTTGAGGATCACCTGGGTATGTGTGTGCATGCCCCAAATCCCAAGAGGATCCTGAAGGAGGAGGGATTGTAGAGTGACCATCCTTCCTGAGGGATGATTTCTCACTTTCTCTCTCTCTCTCTCTCTTTCTCTGGTGAGCACATGCCCCATAGCAAAAACTGAAAACTACAACAAGAGCAAACTGATGATTAATGACAAAGATTCGGTGTCCAGGATGCTTAGTTAGGAAAGACACATTTGTTATCTTTTTTAAAGATTTTTTAACTTATTTATCATATTTCATTTTACTTATTTGTTCATTTATGTTCATTTGACCAGAGAAAGATAGACACATAGAGAGAAAGAAAGTGAGAAAGCAAGCCACCAGGTCTAGGACTCAATCTTTGGTTGGCCATGTGGGAGTGTCCACCACCTTAGCCGCCATGCCACCTGCTGGCCCCCCATTTGTTATTGTTAACAACGATATCAATAGCCAACATTCATTAACCTCTAACTGTATATCCCCCTTTATACTAGGTGTCAGAAAAGATGTTCTATGAAAGCCTGGAGAGCACATATTTCAGGCTTTGTGGGCCACAAAAATCTCTGTTGTCGCAGCTACTCAGTCCAACCATCGTAGCATGAAGGCAGCGTGTCAGTGAATGGACGTGACAGCGTTCCAGTGCTGCTTAATTGATGGACACTGGAATTTGAGTTTCATACAATTTTCATGTGTCGTGAAGTATTCTTTTGATCTTTTAAAAAAGTCATTAAAAACATTCTTAGCTTGGGGCTCAAACAAAACCAGACAGTAGGCCAGACCTGTGGCCTGGCTACTGTGGGCCTTTGACCGGCCCCTGGCTTGGTGATCCCTCATCTATACCTTAGCTCATGTAATCTTCACAACCACCTATTTGTTTAATGACTGTAGGAAAAGCTCTGTTGTTAATTGAGGAGTCACTGAATCTCCTGACCCGTCACTATCAACATGGTGCCCCAGAGTGGTATATTCACTACAGTTGATGAACATATATTGATTGATATGTTGTGATCGCCCAAAGTCCATATCAGGGAAAGTTTATATTGGGGTTCTCTGTCCACGTTCATTCTACAGGTTTTGACAAACGGATAATGACTGTATTCACCCTTACAGTATTACACAGACTAGTTTCACTATCCTAAGAATTCCATGTGTTCTGCCCACTCTTCCCCTTTCTCTTCTACCACCTGGCAACCACTGATCTTTTTGCTTTCTCTGCAATTTTGACTTTTCCAGAATGTCATATAATTGTGGTCATACAGTATGTCACTCTTTCAGATTGACTTCCTTCACTTAGTAATATGCGCTTAAGATTCTTCCATGCTGGGACCAGCAGTTAGCGTAATGGCTATGTCGCTGGACTCCCATGTAGTCGACCACAGTTCAAGTCCCGGACCTGGTGGCTTAAACTCACACCAGGTGCGTGTGCATGCGTGCCCAAAATCCCAAGAGGAGAATGGAGGAGAAGGGATTGCGGTGTGACCGTCCCCCCGGGGGGTGATTTCTTGCTTTCTGTCTCTCCGTCTCTCCCTGTCTGTCTGGTGAGTATACGCGCCCTATAGCAAAAAACCTCTTCAAAAAAAAAAAGGATTCTTCCATGTCCTCATGGCTTGGTAGCTCATTTCTTTTCAGAGACAAATACTATTCCAAGGGATTGGTATTTTTTTTTATTGTATTTTACAATTGGAAAAAAAGAATTCACCCAGGTACAGGTCATATACATCTGTCTGACTCCACACAGAGTCTGAGCTCTTTTTTTTCTTAATTCTTTTTAGAATTATTTATTATTTATTATTTCTCCTCCATTCTCCTCTTTGCATCTTGGGCACACATGCACATGCACCCGGTGTGAGTTTAAGCCACTGGGTCCAGGACTCAAACCGCATTCAACTATATGGGAGTCCTGTGACATAGCCATTATGCCAACTGCTGGTCCCGATTTTAACATCTATTTATTCAGTGTGATTTTTGGGTGGCCAGGTCCAGGACTTGAACTATGGTAAGCCATGTGGAAGTCCTGGTGGCTCCCAGAATTATTTATTTATTTTATTATTTATTTACTTTTCTTCTTCTTCTTTTTTAAACATTTATTTTTTAATTTAATTTCATTTTTTTTGTTATTACTTTTTAAATTTGACCAGAGGGTGACATAGAGAGAAAAAGTGAGAGAGAGAAAGGGAAAGTGAGAAAGCCAGCCACCAGGTCTGAGACTCAAATTGTGGTCGGCCATATGGGCATCCAGCAACTTAACCACCATACCACTTGCTGGCTCCCCTATTATCACTATTATTTTTAAGTTTTGCTATAGGGCACATGTGCTCACCAGAGATAGAGAGAGAGGGAAAGTGAGAAAGCAAACTGCCAGGTCTGAGATGTGAACCATGTTCGGCCATGTGGAAGTCTAGCGCCTTAACCACCATGCCACTTGCTGGCCGCCAGAGTCTGAACTCTTAAACAATTTACCATCCCTGTGAGCCCCAGAGATCTTTGATTTCTCATAATGTATTGGGTTGTTAGGAAAGTCATAATGCAGGGCCGGCAGGTGGTGTGGTGGATAAAGGTGCTGGACTCCCACAAGGCTGACCATGGTTCGAATCTCGGACCTGGTGGCTTGCTTTCTCACTTTCCCTCTCTCAATATCTCTCTCTCTGTGTCTTTCTGGTCAAATTAAAAAATAAAAATAAATGAATAAATAAAATTAAATAATTCTTAAAAAAAAGAAAAGTCATGATGCATTTTTGCATAGAAAAACATAGAAAAAATACATCATGACTTTTCTGACAACTTAATAATTTGTCACATAATAGAATCCAATGAAAGCCAGAAGAGCAGAGCCAGGCAGAGAGCAGCCACAGCTTTCTGTATAGTCACATGGATGAAGAGCCTAGACTAAGATAAGACTTTGTCTTAAATGTTTCAAGTATTTAATTAATTAATTATTTAAAGAGGTCTTTGCAATAGGACACCTGCACTCACCAGGGAAAGACACACACACACACACACACAGAGAAAGAGAGACAATGAGAGGGAAAGTGAGAAATCACCTCCCGGGTGCGATGACCATTCCACAATCCCTTCTCTTGCATTTTTCTCCTGGGATCTTGGGCATGCATGCACACATGCCCAGTGTAAGTTTTAAGCCACTAGGTCCGGGACTCAAACCGCCATTGACTATATGGGAGTCCAGTGACATAACTACTATGCCACCTGCTGGCCCCACATATTAAATATAAATAGAAAAATGCTGTGTGTTGTTGAATGTCTAATATGATGCATACTGTGTGTAATTGGTTTGAGAAAATGTTCTTCTTTCCTGACTTTAATTTTGTTGCCTTTCAGATTATATTTGGGTCTTGGCACCCAGCTACTCCTCTGCCAATGAAGTACGTCCTGGTCACTGGAGGGGTCATCTCGGGCATTGGTAAAGGGATCATCGCCAGCAGCGTTGGGATGATTTTAAAATCATGTGGACTCCGAGTTACTGCCATCAAGATTGACCCGTATATTAACATTGACGCAGGCACTTTTTCACCCTATGAACACGGTATGAAACAGAACCACTTGCTCCCCCTCTGGTTTAAAAACATTGTTTTTAAGTTTGCTTTTTATTCATTTCTTGCATGAGAGATAGAGAGAGAGAGATGGAAAGGGAGAGACAGAGATGAGTACCCCTAGTAGGGTCCCTATACCACGATTCACCCCCAGTCTCAGTGAGCCTGATCACAGGCATGGGCCCGGCATGTAGAAGCAGACCCTGGCATGCAAACCCAGGACTTCCCCATGTGGGGCCAGCTGTTCCAACATCTGGTCCCTCTCTTGCCAGAGGGGATGTGCACTTGCCAGAGAGTGGCAGGCAGAGCAAGTGGAAGAGGGAGAAAGCACCCACCAATGGGGCGTGATCATGCTGAATCCCTTTCCTTCTATTTCTCCACTCTGTTGAGATTTGGGACATGCACGTGCATGCTCCCAGTTTGTGTTTAAGCCGCCAGAGCCAGAATTCAAATGGCAGTTGGCCATGTGGGATCCAGGCCCCCTTAACCATTAGGCTAAGGGGACGGCCCGATGGAATTTTTTTTTTTAAGATTTTTGTTATAGAGTGCATGCACTCATCAGAGTGGAGACAGACAGGGATTCAGAGAGAGGAAAAGGGAGAAATCACCCCCCAGGGGGGATGGCCACACTGCAACCTCTTCTTCCCTTTCTTCTTGGGATTTTGGGTGTGCACACACGTAGGCCCAGTGTGAGTTTCAAGCCACTGTGTCTAGGACTTGAACCGTTGCTGACCATGTGAGAGTCCAGCACCTTTTGGAAGATTTATTATTTATTTACTTTGGGGGATTTTTGGTATAGGGTGCCTGTGCTCACCAGAGACACAGCGAGACAGAGAGAGAAAGTGAGAAATCACCCCCTAGGTGGGATGGCCTTGCCACAATCCCTTTCCTTCCATTTTCTTCTCGGGATTTTGGGCACACAGGCACATGTGCCTGGTGTGAGTTTCAAGTTGCTAGGTCTGGAACTCGATCTGCAGTTAACCATGTGGGAGTCCAGTGTCACAACCACTATGCCACCGGCTGCCCCTTAGATTTATTATTTTGAACCTAAATTTCTAGGTATAGAATTTCTGATTTGGGGGGCAGTAGGTGGCATGGTGGTTAAGGTGCTGGATTCTCACATGGCTGACTGTGGTTTAAGTCCCAGACCTGGTGACTTGAACATCACAACAAATAAATGGATAAATAAATAAATAAATAAATGTTTTTTTAAAAAAGAATTTCTCATTTGAAGAGTAAGGATATTTTTCATACTTTTGATACATAATGCAAATTTCCAAAGCTTTTCAGGGCCACCACCCTTTGTCTACTACTCTAAAAGCCATAAAGTCCTGAAAATTAAAATTTTTTCATCAGTTTATGAGTATCTATAGTCTTTTTTCAAATTTTCTGAAAATTAAAAATCCTTTATATATTTGTGGCTATTTATAGTATTTCATGTTTTGGTACTTGGAATATGACTTTTAAGAACACATCCTGTAGAGGCCAGCAGGTGGCATAGTGGTTAAGGTGCTGGTCTCCTACATAGCCGACTGTGGTTCAAATCCCAGGCCTGGCGACTTGAAACTTATGCTGGGCATGTGTGTGTGTGCCCAAAATTCTGAGAGAAGAATGGAGAAGAAGGGATAGCAGTATAGCCATCCTCCCTGTGGGGTGATTTCTTGCTTTGTTTCTCTCTGTCTTTCTGGTGAGCATACACACCCTATAGCAAACATCTCCCACAAAAAGAAAATACTGTATTTATCACATGTATATATTTCCCCCTTACATGAAATTTGCCTTAATTTTGCTTCTATAAAATTTTAACTTACCAGTTATGTGATTAAATATGTCAACTCTTTCCTTTATGGTTTCTATCTTTGATACTACCTCAGGCTTATCTACACCAGGGATATGTAAATGTAAACCTACAGTTTGACACTTTTATAATTATATTTGCTTTTACTTTAACATTGTTAAGAAATCTGGAGGGACCAGCAGCTAGCATAATGACTGTGTCACTGGACTCCCATGTAGTCGACTACAGTTCAAGTCCTAGAGCCAGTGGCTTAAACTCACACTGGGTGCGTGTGCGTGCGTGCCCAAGATCCTGAAAGGAGAATGGAGGAAAAGGGATTGCGGCGTGGCCATCCCCCCTGGGGGGTGATTTTTCGCTTTCTGTCTCTCTGTCTCTTTTGGTCTTTCTGGAGAGCTCACAGGCCCTATAGCAAAAACCTCTCCCCCCCCCCAAAAAAAAAAATCTGG